AGATAGCTGAACAATGAATGGTCTTTGTTTTCTCTGTGAATAAATGCTGCCCCCTTCTGGGAGTGAGGAGGGAGTGGTGTGGTGTGATTAGCAGCTGCTTCTGGGAAAGGCAGAAAGTATAAAAAGGATTTAACCAAACAATGAAGTTGGTGAACTTTTAGCCTCACCAATTCATGCACACACCCATCGTAGTACATTTACAACAACAACAAAAAAGTCAGAAATTCTTTGCAGCTTCTTCTATCAGGAAGTGGAGGGTATGTCCCCATCCCTGCATCTGGACTGGCCTTATGACTTGCTTTGAAGGTGATGTGAGCGATATTGTGCAATTTCTAAACCTCAACCCGAACTGCAAGAGGCCTTGGAGCTTCTGCCCTAACACTGGGAATCCCTCTTCCACCATGTGAACAAGCCTGAGCTGGCTATCAGAGATTGAGAAACCATATAGAGAGAGGCGCCACCATTCCACCAATTCCAGCTGAAGCATCCGATGAGTGATGAGGCTATCCTGGATCATTCAGCTCCAGCCAAGGCAGTCCAGATGACTCATGGAATTGTAAGAAATAATCTTTGTGGTTTTAAGCCACTACTTTTTGGGGTGGTTTGTTGTACAATAAAAGCTAATTCATTCATTCTTTAGATGATTTTTAAAGCATATTCATAACTCTCTGGTTGTTTCCAATCATGCTTTTATCTAAGTTTTCATCAACTCCTTGATCCTTTTGGAATGTAAACACAAGAAAAAATTTCTCTCCAAACAAGCTCGTATATTTTCTATTACTACAAAAGGAAAAATACAAAATCCAGTATGTGTGTGTGTGTGTGTGTGTGTGTGTGTGTTGCTAGGAAGTTTGGATTTGTCAATTACGACATTCATGAGTAATGTCATCCAGAGCCATTTTAGTGGCGTGGTTAGAGTGGAAGCGAGACTGAGATAGTGAATGCAGTGTTCAGTTTCAGGAAGTATCCTGATACAATTTTCAAGTTCCTGATAAAATTATCTTCACCTTCTACCTGGTTTCTAACTTCCTTTTTATCTTTATGTTAATTACTAGAGACCCGATGCACAAAATTCGTGCACTGGTGGGGGAGGGAGTTCCTCAGCCAGGCCTGTGCCCTCTCACAGTCCAGGAGCCCTCAGGGGATGTCCAACTGACGGCTTAGGCCCACTCCCCACAGTAGTCGGACATCCTTAGCACTGCTGCGGAGGCGGAAGAGGCTCCCACCACCACTACTGCTGCACTTGCCAGCCATGAGCCCGGCTTCTGGCTGAGCAGCACTCCCCCTGTGGGAGCACACTGACCACCAGAGGGAAGCTCCTGCACTGAACAGCTGCCCCCTGGTGGTCAGTGCGCATCATAGCAACTGGTTGTTCTGCCATTAGGTTGATTTGCATATTATCCTTTTATTATATAGGATACTATACTAGAGGACTGGTGCACAGATTCGTGCACCAATGGGGTCCCTCGGTCTGGCCTGTGGGGATCGAGCTGAAACCGGCTCTCCGACATGGCCTGAGGGGTCCTGGTACACAATTGGGGCCCATCTCACCCAGTCCTGATAGGCCCGACCCCAGCAGCAAGCTAACCAACTGGTCAGAGCGTCTACCCCCTGGTGGTCAGTGTGCATCATAGCGACTGATCGAACAGTTGAACAGTTGGAGGGACAATTAGCATATTAGGCTTTTATATATATAGATTGTATACATACATCTATGGTAGCCACTTTGAATCCTTTTTGAAAATAGACATAGTTAAAATTATGAATAGTCTCCTACCTAAAATCAAGCTTTTAGCCCTCAGCATGCCTTCATTCTTGTCACAGACATTTGTCTCTCCAGGAATGTGACCAATAAAGCTCTCCTTCAGGGTCTTTCTCTGACGCACAGCCAAATGGCAGCCAAGAGAAGGAACAGCTGGAATGAGTGCATCTGGGATAGTTTGGAGTAGAGGCTAGCTGACCTAGAGAGTTCAGTCCATAACTGGGATTAACCTCTCCCTAGAGTAATTAAGGAATGGGCATTGGAGTCTGGAAGCCTTCATTCACATGCTTGCTCTGACATTTACCAACTCACTTCACTTAATTTCCCTATTTTAAGAGGATGCTTATAGTACATGCATGTGGCACAGAGTAAACACTCAAAAAACGTTAGCTTTTTAATAGTTAGCCTGTTATATTCTTCTTCCCATGACCCCCATACCATGCTGGACTTCTAGCTCCCAAACCCTCTGGCTTCTACCACTGAGATATGGCACTTGGTGTCCTGCTCCAGATGTTCCTTCTGCACTGTTGATAGAATCTTGGGCTGCTTAATGGACCATGTCATCCACATGATGAGGGACTCCATCCCATGGCAGTGATGGAGTATCTGTGTGTCACTGCCGTGAATGGCCATGACAGGGGATGGCAAGACGCCTGGAGCCTTGTGAAGAAAGGTGAATAGGGAGGGCTTTCAGAGACACCCCTTTGTTTGTATACGTGGACATGATGTTGGAACTTCTCAGAGGCTGGGCAGGGATTGACATCTAAATCCTAGACAAGGAGTCAGAGCTGGGCAACAGGTAACAGATAACCAGGTGGATCAGAAAAATAGCATGTATTTATTTCATGGCATTTACAGACAAAATACTGAGCTCTGTAGCATTCAAAGAAGTATCTTGCATAGTTTCTGCTCTCAAGGGGAACCATGGGGAGAGGACATTTCCAGAAAAAAAATGACCAACACCAGGCTAAGTGAATAATACAGAGACTGCATTACAAGAGTTAAAGTAGGGTTGGGAACATCAGGGAGGATTTCTGAGGGTGACCTGAGTTGAGCCTGGAAAGTGGAGAAGAGAGGGAAGACAACAGGGAAAGAACAAAATCAAAGGCCTGCAGGAGAAAAAGGGGATGTGGGCTTGTCTGGAAGGAAGCAGGCAGTCTAGTCAAACTGGACAAACTTTGACTTGAAAAGGACCAGAAGAGAAAGCTTGGATTGTCCTGCAGGTGATGCGGAGCCATTGAATATTTATGAGTAGAGGAATCTAATCATATAGGTCAAGTGTTCCTGAGAGTTTTCACAAAAAGGAAGCTTTAAAGAAACTTCTAAGCGTACACTTTGGGCCCAACTTCCTAATATCTCAAGCACTGCTTTCCCTGTGTTAACCCTCTCTCCACACTATCCTCACTGCCTGTAATGGCTCATTTCACCCGTGTCTGTGTCCATTCAGAACTCCTCTTGCTGCAAGCCACTGAAAACAGTCAAAGACGCTTAGGCAGGAAAGGAGTTGATTCATCAGCCCAGATGACTGATGAGTTCGAGGCAGAGGATCTGACTTTGAGCACTCAAACTTGTCATCAGGTCTGTTTCTCTTAACTGCTCACTTCTGTCCCTACTGCTTAGCTTCATTGTTAGTCTCCATTTGGTGGCCCCAGCAGCAGTGGGCTGTCTGGACAAATGGCAAGATGATGCATCCTCCCATGTCAGTCTTGTAGAAAAAACTAGACTTTTCCACTAGCTCTAGCGAAAACCTTAATATTACCAAGACTGGACTTGTTTGGGTGACCTGTCCATCCTGAAGACAATCAGTGTGGCCAAAGTGATGTGTTGCCCCGAATGGCCAGGCCTGAGTAATGAGCAGAATGACTATGTTCTGGAAAGTGAGGGCAGGAATTTATGTTTGTCCAAGATAGGAGTGCATAGCTCTAAATAACCCGACTTCCCTACAGTCCTGAAACCAGAGGATCTGCCTACATGCCACATGTTAGACAGGGTCCCTGATGGCTATGGAGACCACCCAGAGCAGAGTGCTGCATTAGAAGGCCTACAGCGGTCCCTGCACACCCTTTACACACCAGTGGCTTCCCTGCACTCCATGGTCCGGGACCTGGCCCGGACCTCCACACCGTGGTAGTGCTGGGGTCTACTTTACCACCTTCCCTGGGGCCATCTTTATCTGATGACTGACAGGATCTGGGCCGCTGTGGTTGCACTCTTGTGGTCACCAAGCTGGTCAACACCCTACACGTCCATGTCTGGCTGTGACTGGTTCACTCTCCAGGTGAACTGGCTTCTCTGAGCTGTCTTTGCTGACCTCTGCGTGGCCTTTGTAGACACCTGGGAAATGGCCTCCAGTTTGGCCCTGCCTGACCGCATCCACCCAGGGAGGCTCATCATCCACAAGGTGGACTTCCTCCTCTCCATCGGCCACACCTAAGCACTCTGCCATTCCTGGAGCTGTGTGGATAGAGGGCAAGGGGACTGGGACAGTTGTGAAGAGGACCTCAGCCCTAATAGGACTTCTGGGATATGGGCCAGGTGCCATCAACTTCTCTCGCCTGGAAGACTGCAAAAGCTTCCCAACCACAGCCAATTCAATTCTTGCTCCACTCTAACCCCGTTTCCATTCAGAACAAGAGTGATTGTTTTAAAACATAAATGAGCCCAGGTCATCGGCCTGCTCAAAAGCCAAGGCTTCAATCTCAGTAACTCTGCAGTTTCATTTATTGCCACTCTCCCAACTCCATGGATTCCTGCTGCTCAAGCAGATCAAGGGGTCCAGCTTTCTCATTCTATTCTCTGATCAAACTTCATCACCTCAGAGGCTTTCCCTGACTACCCACCCCTCAGAACCGTATCCCCTTCTCAGCCTGATTTTTTCTCATATCACTAACCACAACCTATAGTTATCTGATTTAGTACTATTATTATTGTTGTTTACTTGTCTGTCTCAATAGAACGTAATATCCATGAGGGACAGGGAGTTTGCCTGACTCGTTCACTGTTGTATCCCGGTGCTTGAGACATAGCAGGAGTTAAATAACTATTCATTGAATAAATTCATGAATAAAAGTCAGATGACTGTGGTGTTACTTCCATGCCCTGCACCTTCTCTCAGCAACCTGCAACCTCTTGAGAAATAAGCAATTAGCCAAAAGGTGTCCCGTTTGCTGTTGATTACATTTGCGTAACCGTCACTGTTAATACTTCATCTCCTTACATTTACATTAAGGCACTATGATTTTCAGTGTAGTTTCCAATTTTTATTTACATTAAGGCACTATGGTTTTCAACGTAGTTTCCAATTTTTATTTGGGACAACTCTCCCAATCGTCTCCCGTTTTGTTAGTGAAACCCTCAGAGGTGGCACACAGCTGGTCCGTCCTTGGTCCGAGTTCGGTTGCAAAAATGGTGATATTGGTGACAGCAGTGGCAGAAGCGCTCTGTCCTCGCCGGGAGTGACCAGCTGGCCCCTCCGACTCCGGCTGACTGGTCCTCTCCCAACCTAGACTTCAGTTCCCAGGCTGGGGGATGGGGTGGGAGGGCCGCCCTCACGGGCGTCCGGCGTCTCCGTCTCCGGGGGCTCCTCCTGGTCTCGGGCCTCGGGGCCCTCTGCCTCTGGACTCCAGGCCTCCCTGACCACCAGGAAGGGGGCGCCGTGGCCAGGCACCACCACGTCGGCTGTGCCCAGGACCCTCCTCCGGCTCCGCTCCTGAGCCACCGGGTCTTCGCTCAGGGCCTGCCAGAAGCCCTCGTCCCCGTCGCGTTCGAACACGTCGCCCACCACGGCCACGGTGCCCAGGGCCGTGCCCGCCACCACCACGCTCACGTCCCGCTGGCCCCCGTGGCCGGGCGTGGCCCACACCTCGAGCCCCGGCCCCAGCCGCAGGGGCCGCTCCTCCCCGAGCCCGTGGGGAAGGAAGCAGCCCCCGGGGAGGCAGAAGTCGTGCGAGACCAACAGAGCGGCCCTTGGAAACAGCCCCAGGTTCCCGATGTGATCCGAGTGTCCGTGGGTCCCCACCACCAGAGTCACGTCTGCGGGGGCCACGCCCTGCCCCGCCAGGGCCTCCAGGAGCCTCTCCCGAGCCCAGGGGCCCCCGGTGTCCACGAGGATGGGACCCCGGGCTGCGTCCTCCAGGGCGGTCTTCGCCTCGCCGCCCTCGGACGGGGGCTCTCGGTGGCGGGAGGCGCGGGGCAGGATGAGGGTCACGGAGCCGTCGGCGCGCACGGCGCCGCCCACCCCCTCGGGCTCCGCGTAGCCCCGAAGTAGAACCACCACGGAGAAGGGGTCGCCAGGCAGCCGCACGGGGGGCTCCCCGCGCAGCGGCTCGGTCCGCACCACACGGCTCATGGCCGGAGAAAGCGGGGCTGTGGGCCAACGTCCGGGCCCTTCGGGTTCCCACACTCGCCGGAGCCTCCGCTAAGTGGCACCTCCAAGTCTCAGTTCTTGCCGCCCCCTCGCTCTTATAGTGGTATCGCCTCAGCCCCCTTCCGAGGATGGTCTCGCCCAACCTTTTCTTCCACGTGGAGCAGCGCGGCTTTCAGTGTCTTCGGGGCCCCCGCCTTGCCACTCTCTCGTGGTAGGTCCACACTCGTCCCCTCCCAAGGAGGTCCTTTTTAGTTCCTTCTCTATAACCTACGCCGCTCTCTGCCTTGGACCCAGTTTTACGCCTCGAAGGTTCTGAGGGAAGAATGGAAATCGGAAAAACGCGAAGGATTTTGTCCGCTGCGAGCTCCCTTAAGCCCTAGTATGGCGGCCGAGACGGCACCGCCCGCGGCATTCTAACGCGGCCGCGTTCTCCGGCGCGCGGACCCGGACCCCGGCCCGAACACCATCCTCGGCCTGGGATCCCTGCCAACTGCCTTGGGCTGCAGCATTACCGAGCGCCATTAGCTTCTAACGGGACGGCAGCCGGCAGCCCTGTTCTCTGGGCGGGGCGCTGCCACATCAGCCGGCTAGGACGTGTGCACAGGAGTTGCTGGAAATGTTGGTTGCAGCCGATACTTTTAAAAAAAGAAAGCTTCCTAGCGATATAGAAAATTTGGCACCTTGAAATTATGTGGCGGGCCATCGGTGGAATTAATATGAAGTAGACCAAGTGCCTACTCCGCCTAACTTATCAGCATCACCCCATCCCCATCCAGCGTCCCCTCCGCGGTCAATCTGTTGGCATGAAGCCTTTGGGACGCAGGCGGTGTATGTAAATCGCAGAGAATGCCCTCTGGCTTCATCCTTGTAAGGGTCTAAAAAAGGCAAAGTGACGTCCCCAAGGCCCCAACTCCTATGCCATTGCTGACCTCTGGGTGGGGTTTGAAGTAGTAGAGATAATTAAAGGGGAAGGCCTTCAATATCGTCTCCACACCTACAGCCAAGGGAGCTAGATGGCAGGCAGAGGGCTCATCTGTTGGGTTTGGGCTTCCACCTACTACTCACACCTTTCTCCCCACAGCTATGCCAAGCTGTACCATCAGGATTCTGCCTGAGACCAGATGGGAGAGAAGAACTACAAGCTCAGGGGTGAGACACACACACACACACACACACACCATTAAAGCTGTGGGGTAGAGAGAGCTCAGGCTTCAGAGCGCTCTCCATGACCCCTGCCCTTCCTGGGGGCTCAAAAACAAGGGTCAAAGGTCCTCCGGGTCATGCTTGGGGTGGCCTGGTGCGCTCGTCATCTCTTCTTCCTTTTCCTTCTCCTCCTCTTGATCTTGCTCCTCCTCCCCTTCTGTCTTCTCTTGCCCTTCTGTGATCTCCTTTCCAGTCCAAGTTTCCTGTAGACATGCTAAGTTGGGTGATAGAAAACAAGTGAGATGTTGGTCCTGGGCGTAGGGGATGTTGTGGCCTGGCAGGGAAGGGACCAGCCCACACACTTACCAGTTTCAGAAGCTGGGAGCACATGACCTTCACAGAGAAAATGCTGCAGGGGCTGCTCCTGATGGTGGAAGTACCAGTCTTCCACGACTTCTTCAAACTCCTCCAGCATTTTCTCACACTGGTCAAGTGGAAGGGCCAGAAGAGTATCTGCTCTGCTGGGCTTTGGGAACCTTCCTCTTTGCTCTTTACTACCTGTCTCCCCACCCCACCTTGGAGAGGCAGAGAGCCAGGAGTTTAAACGTGGCTTACTAGCTGTGTGATCCCCATCCATTCAACAAACATTCACTAACACCTCCTCTACTGAGTAGGTTATTAAACTCTTAAGTTTCAGCTCCTTGTCTGTAAGATGGGAAATGGTAATCAGGTGGTTGTGAGGGCAAAATGAGGCAGCAGCTGAAACGTCTGTGGCTCCAAATTTGCACATGGTTGGTACTCAGTAAATGGTAATGCATATTATTAGTCTCCATTATTACTTCTTGATATGCTCCGGGTGCATGTCAATCAATGACAGTCCTCACTCTGCCCCCTTCTCCCCTGCTCAGAGGTAGACCTCCCTAGGATCTAGTTCCCCTTTCAGGTTCCCTTCTCACCTCCCTGGGCTGTCTCCTAACCTACCTGCTTCTTGAGGAATGTGACCTCCACACTGGGCTCGTCCCACAGCTCCAGAGGGATCCCCAGATCCACCTTTACCCCCTTCTGCACCAGGCCTTTCAGCGTTGCCATGGTCTGACTCTGCCCCTGTGAGATGGGAATTTGGGATCAGCCCAGCCCACTACCTCAGCTTCTTCCTTTCCCTTCCCACCCTATCAGTTTTGTCAACCACCAGAGTCTGACGGGTAAGTTCCATGAGGGTGAGATGAGGGAGTCTAAAGATGAGGAGGGGACACTGAAAGGCTAGAGAAGGGAGGCTCCAGAGGACATAGGCCTAAGCAGGGGGATCCTGCCCTGGGGAGGAGTCTGACCTTGGCATATCTCAGTGAGCCCTTGCGCTCAGCATGAACACTGTAATCCAGAACTTGCTCACATAAATTCTCCAAGGCCTCTTCTAGCCTTGTCTCTCTGTGGGAAGAGGGGAAACAAAGACTCCTTGAATACTGTATGAGCTCCCAGAGCTCTTTCGGGGGTTGAAAGGTGGAGGAACATCAAGGACTCACGAAACGCTGTAAGGGATGTGTCTTTTCCTCTTGCCCGTGTCCAGCACCTGCCCCAGCTCCAGCACCTCTCGAGATCGTCCAGTGCGACTCAGCTGTTCCTGTAGCTCCAGACTCAGCAGCTTACACACTAGATGTCCAAAGGGACATGAGAGATAAACAAACATGCCAGCAACTCATTCTGCAGATGAGCAAAAGCAGCAGAGCATGATGGTTTCAAATGCAGACTCTGGAGCCAGCCTGGTTTACAATCCTGACTCAGCCACTTAGTAAGCTGTGTAGCAATCTGCTGTGCCTTGGTTTCTTCACCTCTAAAATGGAGATAATAATAGTACCTCCTCATAGGGGTGTGGTGAGGATTAAATCAATCCATGCAAAGCCTTTACAATAGTGCCAGCACAAAGTGAGCAGTGTATAAGTCTTTGCTGTTGTTAGGCAGTCATTTATTGGGCTCCTTCTGGATGCACAATAGCAATAGAGAGCAATTAAGACCCACCATCCCTATCCATGACACACTGCCAATGTAGTCGGGAATAGATGGCAATATGGTGTGATGGTTCCTACACTAGGGATTAAGACCCTACCTGGCTTGGTTCAGTGGATAGAGCATCAGCCCTCGGACTGAAGGGTCCCAGGTTCGATTCCAGTCAAGGGAACATGCCCAGGTTGTGGGCTTGATCCCCAGTAGGGGGTGTGCAGGAGGCAGCTGATCAATGATTCTCTCTCATCACTGATGTTTCTTTCTCCCTTTCCCTCTCTGAAATCAATAAAAATATATTTTTTTTAAAAAAAGACCAAGAGACTTAATCTCATTAGGAAATGCAAAATTCATTCAATGGTTACATATTGACTTCCTGCTAGCCTGGGATTTCCTTAAGGGTGAGCATTGCATCTGTTCCACCACTGTCTTTCCAGCACCTAGCATGTGACCTGGCACATTATGGGTCCCAAGAAAGGGAGTGGCCTATACAGAAGTGCCAAGTGAACTAAACACAGGAGCAAGTAACAAAAGTGCCTAAAATATGCCAGGTACTACTCTAAAATCTGGGAGACACAGGTACTCTCTTTCCCTCCAAGGGTACAATACAGTGAGAGGAGACAGATACGAAAAGAAGGCTTCCAAAGGAGGTGATATTTAAACTGGATCTTGGAGAACAACATGCAGAAGTGAGAGGGTTATTCCAGGCAAAGGGAGAAGCAGAGGTGGGAAAAGATAAGGCAGGCTCACTAGCTGCTGAGTACAGTGTGGCTTCAGCATGGGCATTTTGGGGGTGGGAGTTTGTGGAAAAGAAAGAAAGGGGGGGCATAAAACAAAGAAATGGATGTTCTGCCCTAACAACAATCTTGGCTGTACTCTAATCACTGCAGGAAGCCTGCCCAGGTGTTAAAGCAAGGACTGACAAGATTGGGTCTGTGTTTAGAAATTCTGACAGAGGAGTAGGGGCACAAGTGAAAGGGGAGTAGAGATTAGGTCCAAGTCTTGAGGAACAGCGATACTGAAATGCAGGTTAAAAGAGAAAGAATCCAGGAAAGAAATTAGAGTCAGGAAGGCAACAAACTAGGGAACCAGAGCACGCAATGGCCCAGTTCTGAAATGCCTTCTCCCTATTATTGCTCTCTATTGCTATTGTGCATCCAGAAGGAGCCCAATAAATAACTGCCTAACACCAGCTGGGACCCACAAATAGTGCAACCACAGAAGATACTGCTTGCTGTAAAATCCATACAGTACACACACACCCTTTGGAAAGCCTCACACCTATGGGGAACCTCTCCCAGTTGTGTGGCCTCCTCTTTCATTTATGAGCGTCAAGGGCTGATTTACTCATCCCCAAGCCCCTTCAGGAGAACGCGGGACCTGTAATTTGGGAGTGTCTCTGCCGAGGTGGAGCAGAGGATATCTACAAGGTGAGCCTAACATCCCACTCCTGCAGGATCTCCAGATTGAGGTCTAGTGGCTTGGGAAAAACACACACAAGATGCTCAGTAGCGTGGTGGTCCTGGGCGGATAGTCTCTGAACTACAATTCCCACAAACCATTGGGGCCCAAACCAGCCAGAAAAAGCGGGCTCTCTCTGGATGTCTCATGGGAATTGTAGTGCCATAGATTTTGGAAACCACTATAGGTTCCCTCCCTTGATCCCATTCGACTTCCGCGAAACTCCACCAAAACCTCCCTCAGGTCTTTAAGGAGGTTGAGCGACCCACCCATCACGGTCCATTTGGTCCGGCCCAAACAAAGGAGGTGGGGCAGAGGGATGCCAAAAGGGGCTATTCCTTTCAGATACCTTCGCATTTGCTGGGCAAGCGTTCTGTGTCATCATCGTCCTCCTCCTTCGGCGCCCCAGCCCAAGCTGGGACGCATGCAGTCAAAATGAAAAGCAATATTCCCAACGGCACAGGTCCCATGACAAAGTGCTGCCCACAACTTAACACCCCTTGCCTTCTAACCAACTTCGGGAAGGCAGCGGGCCCTTTTAATTCCGAGGCAACTTTAAGAGTCGAGCCCAGCATGGAGGCGCACGCGCAGTGCCGACCCGAAAGGGGGCGGGGCCACGTCGCTCCGGCCTTCCCCGCCCGGGACTTGTGGCGCCTCCGGAAGGTCCTGGCCGCCGGGTAGTGAGGCGATCCACAGAAGTCATCACCACAGAAGTGTTTGCTCCTGCCATGTAGCTGTAGACACAGAGTTTTTACATAATTTCAGGCCGTGAGTCTAGAGAACTTATTCCTGGTCAGAGAAGGGGTAGGGACTGGCTCCTTTTCTCTGCCAGGACCGGCTCCTGGGAGGGGGCGGGGCCAACATGGCGCCGAGCGCCGGCTGAGCGGCGCTTTGGCGGCGGTGCGAGCTCTTCGTTCCTGAGACGCTCGACTGGCGGGAGGGGGTCGAGGGGTACCCCGGCCTCGACCCCTTGTCGGGCCTGTGCGGGGACCTGGAAGAGGACGGTTGGTTGCGTGTCCGTGCCCGTGGGGACTCTGTGTGTCTGCATGGAGGGATGAGG